AAAGGTGGCTGCTTGACATTCGGTTTATATCCACTAAAGATTAGACTGCTGACATCTTTACAAAGCCACTCCATATATCTCGATTTTCCTTTCTTTGTGATAAGCTTCGACTATCAACCCTGTCTTGCTTGAGGGGGGTGTTAGTGACATAACTGATGATGCACGTCCAACATGTGCGTCCCAAGGGATAAGATAATCTTGATAATCACCTGTTATTGTTACCTCCTCTTGGAGATAAGCTTAATCTTGTAATTTGTATAGTCAGACACGTCTCTATAACTTGTATATATATATTGCAATTGGATCCAATGAAAACATTGAACTTTGACCCAGTTTCTTGTTTATGTTATTTGATCACCGGTGTGAGGGATCTTCGATCCGTTGAGAAGAGAACATGCAAAAACAACATTAGAAGAAGAAGAAGAAGGGAGAATACCGTACCTGCTGGAATGCCGAATTTCTTGCTGTTACTACATAATCAAGGATGGGTTAGGTCTCGGAGGAGATGAGGACAAGAGATAGGGAGGGGAGAGTTCGAATGATTAGGGCTCGGATTTCTTTCCACCTATTCACACCTTTTTTTTTGCATTTTTATCTTTTTGTTGGTGATTGAACTGGGTTTGTTAAAGTTAGTGATTTTGCAGGTTTGTTAAAGGAAACACATACACAATGGAGTAGCACTCCCAACCTCCCAAAACCCCAATAGGCCAATAGCCTCAACTCGTTGAATGTGATCGGGTTTGATCCCAAGCACACTGGTTAAAAGTAAAGAAATAAAACTTAAGTTGATCGGCTTAGGCCAATAGACTATCTTTTTTTTTTTATATTTGGTTCCATGCACCATTGATAACTTCCCCCCTTGACCCCCTTTTCTCCAAAGTGCTTGGTGAGACGTTATCTTCTTAGTAGTAGCTAGTTGGGCCAATATTTTTGTATCAACTCCAGAGATTTCAAAGAAGTACATAATTGATACGAGTCTATGGCTTACAATTTAATGATTTAGATTTGAAGTAGTAGTACATAATGTCATTTAACACAACTCTATGACACCCAAGGATTAAAGTATTGGTATCGAGTATTGTATCGGACAACTTGGATATTGATACACTTTGGAAATGCATGGATACGGACGAAAAATATGAAAAACTTGGATACACTAGGGAAACACATGTAAATTTCATAAATACATTAATAACACTAAATTTATGGTCAAATAGCCATAAATAATGTATAAATATATATTTAATGGTATACATAAAAATATATTATAATTAAAAGAAGAATGCACATATATCATACAATGCATTAATTAAGAGTCCAAGATGGACTTATTATATTTATACTAATTATTATATCAATTATTTTCTATTTTATTATTTTTATATTTGAACATTAACAAAAAAAGTTAACCAAATATTAAATACTTAATAAGTTATAAAACTATATAATTTTAACTTAAAATATATAAAATTGGTTAAAATTTCTAAGATATATATCATATGCAAATTCATAATTTTTAATTATTAAAATAATTATTTCGTTATTAAAATTTTATTTGTATAATTTTTTTTTTGAAATTAAAAATCAAATTTTCATATAAATGTAAATTAGTGGATTTGATAAATTCAATTTAATATTATATTCTTGAATATTTTGCAAATAGATTTTTATTTTTTATAAATAATAAATATGTTGTCATTTAATGTGAATTTAAATATTAACTAATAATTATAAAATATATAAAATTTGTAAGATATATATCATGTGCAAATTTATAAATTTTAAGTAGTAAGGTAATTATTCTACTAGTAATATTTTATTTGTATAAATTTCTTGAGATTAAAATCATCTTTTGATGTAAATATATATATATATTTTTTGGTACTCCTTTTGATGTAAATATAGAATTGATAGATTATTTATTCTATTTGTTCATAAAATATGAATTTTAAATATTATTTATTTTAATTTTTAATTGGGGCTATTAAACAAAAATATTGATTATTTATTTGAATAGACATTAATAAAAATTGTGTTATTTCGCTAAATATTACAATGCATGGCATGGCCAAATAGTTTAATGGAGATTTTAAGACTTTTTGGCACCACACGCATGGTATTCTGGGTTCAAATCACACTATTAGCAGTGTTTGCAGTTCGAATTGAAAATGCTGCATATCAACCGATAAAATGGGATACGGGCAAATATGCACCCATATCCGTCAGATATACACGATTTACAGCCCTAATACAAACAGGTCCAATACAGATTTCTGAATTCAACTGCAGAATTATAAATATTCAAAATGTTAAAAATCCCTATTCTATAAGTTAATGACCGTCCATGGATTGGCATCAATTTTGATCTGACACCACTCCAACTGTATTTTCGACCTAAAAATTCTAAACCGTCATTCTCCCAAAATTTTATCAAGACGTGTCATACCACGTGTCTCAATGGTTTTATTGCGCGCTGCCTGCAAGAATTCTTGGCCTTAAGGATTGGGATGGGATTACATGAAATTAAGGCGTTGTGTGGGAAGGGAAAAATCAGGATCAGTGGTTTCGTCCTTGCATCACGTGAAGATAAGGTGATGTGGCGATTGCCTATTGGTTCAGTAGCGTAACTATTGTGAATATAATTGTGGTGGACGACGAATGGGAATCTGGCATACAAAGCGCTCCCAGTCCCAATTCCTAGACGTTTACTTTTTGTCTTATTATTACCATGTTGAATTTCTGATTTAAATGTGGTCATATTAATTAGATCTTCCCCGGTTACTACGACTTACGAGTTACGACAAACAAAAATCACAAAAGTGGTGAGGATTAAATATGTATTTTGGAGCTAAGCAATGGCCAATGGAGAGAACAGGACACACTGTCTCCCATTACCATTACCATGTCTTTCTTTGCTTTGCTTTGCTTTACTTTGCCATTTACCGTTCCGTATTCTCTACCAAACTTCTTCTATTATTTTTTAAAAAAACGTTGTCGGCCACGCGTGGCAAATGGCAATCAATCCTCACTTATACTTTGTACTACTCACATTTACTACGACAATATCGTTAACGTTGCACACTACATCCCTGCCGTATATTAATACACGGTAAGGATGATGTACTGTAAGACGTTGTGGGGCGCCTCTTACGAGACACAGATTTGAACTCTGTTAGTAGGGCTCCACCTTGAATCAGTGAAGTGGGGCAACTGCAGTATATCTAAATACCATAATTTTCTGTTTTAACCCTGCGCTATATAAACGTATCTAGCAAAATGTGGACTTCCTACTTGCAGTTCTGTACCTGTATGATCGAAGGAGAAGCGAGCAACCACCAACCATTCTAATTCCAAATCATGAATGACGGAGACGAAACAAGTCAAACAACAACATAGGACCTGTAGGTGAGTTGAGTTTTCCTAATACCATACCCACCAGCAAGACCATATTTTTTTTGGAGAAATACGGAAACACCCGATGCAGAATTTTGAATTCCAGCCTCTCTCCCTCTATTATTATTAGCCCCCTCTCTCTCTCTCTCTAAATCACATCCTCTCTGTGAATTTAGTATTAATTCACAGTCAGATGCATTCCTCATGTACTATGGAGTTATAAAATTTTGATCTAGGCTGATTGGTCATTCTCACCTATTTTTTCTAAGGTAAAAAAACTCTATTACAGAGAGTCGACTGTATTATAATAAAATAGAGTAGACTGTATTATTTATTTAATAAAAAAATATTAAATAATATGAAGTACATGAAAAATAAGTCATTATTAAGGGAGTTCACATTTCACCCCCACATATTGAAAGCATTTTCTGGTGATGACATCATCGATTTTGATATTATCATCGGGAGATATTTACAATACATGACGGGATGTGCTGTAGGACATTATGGGGCGGAGATGTGAACTCTTATTAAGGCCCAAATGTAAATATACAGTGCCTTCCTTAGAATCTGTTTGGTATGGTTTCTGCATCGGAGGTGATAGAGCCGTGATGGTTGAACGCCTGTGCTTTCCAGCAGTTACCTAGAGTAGCTTCAAATTACACTCATTTCATAGAAGCATGCTTACCAGATTTTCACCAAATATAACTTAGCATTCATGTATGGGCCCAGCTTAAAATGCCATAAACTGTGTCTGGAAAGCCCTCCCAAACGCTTGTCGCAGGGTGGGCCGTGGGCCGGCCATACCATTCACACATTATTTTGAATTTTGATACGATTCTTGTTTAATTATTGATAGCTTGATACGAATGCCTAATAAGAGCCTTCCATATTTTGTTTTTCCACTCACCTCAAATGGAGGCTATGTTTGGCATTGATGCCACTTTTTCAAAAAAAAAAAAAAAAAAAGAAAAAAAACTTTGTTTCATATCATGTTTTGGGCGTTGGATAATAATATAGATCAATGCGTAGTGTCGATGCCAAATAAAAAAATGAGCCATTTTTTGAAAAATCAATGTAATAGACTCTTATGCATATAATACTGTTTTCTCAAAAAATATCTTTGGAGCAATGGCATCAATGCCAAATACCCAAAGATTTTAAAACCAAACCGGACAAGGAACCATTCTGGTTCTAGTTCCCGAGTCAAATGGTCCAATCATCTGATCCGAATAGATGGCTCGTTCTGACAAAATAAATTAATAAAAAACAACCAAAAATGTTGTTCGGGTTGACAGTTCAACGGTTCAACTGCCCATGTCAATGAATTGCTAACCAAATCACCTTTTTTTGGCCAAAAAACAGTTTTTGGGTAAAACCGAACCAATCAGATGACCGGTTCCCGGTTTTTCCGTTGAAAACCATGCAAATACCTACTTAGTAAAATCATCATAATTTATATATTCATTTTTTAGAAAAAGAATTAACGGATGAGAAATGTAAAATTAAATTTACCTCTTTGTGGACTGGAATCCGAAAGGAGGAGCAGGGGGTTAGGGTTTATTCCCGATACCAATAATTTTAAGATTAAAGAATCAAATAGTTAATAATAGAATATACGGTTAGGTGGAGGAAGCACCTATTACAACTTACAACTCGCATCCATCCATCTCTGTCTCTTGTCTTTTTAATCTTTTGAGAGCTGCAGATCTCCCTTGATTACCGAAGCTGCTTCTTATTTCCATTCTATCTCCAAAGGTAATACTGATCTTATTGAATTTCAGATCTTTCTGGTTGCTTTTTGATATTATTATACGATGAATTTCTTCCATTTTTCGTGGGTTAAAAAAAGTTGCATTTTTTTCCCTTTTCCCTGCTGAATTCCGTTGAATCTGAGTGATTTTTGTCGATTTCATTCTGAGTTTCTCGATCTGGATGGTTTTTAATGTCCGCTCTATTCGTTGTCAGATTGCTGTGTATTAAATCTTCTACGTCCTTGAACTTTTTGTTTGTTCACACGTCATTGCTAATTGAGCTTGATTCAGATTTTGCTTCTTCTGGAAATTACAGTGTTTCACTTCGAAGTTTCAATTATCTTTTTTTATTTTTTTGCATATTGATTACCGTATGTCTTAATATTTGATATTTCCTGCTTTTTTTGGCAATGATTTTTTTATCAATATTTCCTGCTAGTCTGCGTATTTTCATCTAGTATTGATTTCCTGCCTTTTGGATATTCTTGATTTCTATTAATGGGAGAGACCTTCTCGAACACTTGTTTTGTAACAAGATACAAATTTTCTTTTTGAATACATGACTTGTTCTTCTGACTTCTTGCCTTGATCTTCCGCCTTATTCACCTGATGCTTGCATTCTCAAGATGTGATTATGTAATTTCTTTTCACCATCTAAATTAGTCATTGATTTTTTAAGACCAGTTATTCTTTCCCTCTTCTTTTAGTTGTTGACTTTGTTTTCATGAGCATGTGCTCCCCAAATAATTTTTGTGAAAGCTTTGTCTTTGATTTCAAAATTCAGGGAACGTGGATCTGGTTATTAACTTTCTTTGGCTGTAAACCCATTTATCTGTTAAGTTGCAGGAGATTCCTACTAATCATAAGCCAAAATAAATATCTCATTTATTATGCTTTGCTGTCTCTACTTGTATATAATACCTTCTCCTACATTTATGTTTTTAATTCAATATCCATTCCTGTACAAATATCTCTGCAGTATCTTTTGGTTAAACAATGGTATTAGTTCATATCAACTCAGAAAGAGTTCTTCTAGTCTGGGAGGCTATTGAAATATTGAATTCTCCTTTATTTTTATTCATTCTTCACTATCTTCTGGTTTTAATAATATTCTATAACTCTTTCTATTTCTCCTTGTAAATTCTGAAGTGTAATCCTTTTTATTCCTTATTCAGGTCTTTATCCCATACTTGTTGGAGGCATTAAACTCGGAATAATTTATCATCTTGTTATTTGGGTGCTGGAAAAGGTCTGAGCTTTAAATCTTTACCATTTTGCTTAAGCATTCTAAGTGATCATTGAAAAACAAAGTTCAGGGAATGCTGAAAGATGTGCTTGAGCACCAGGACTTCCATCCCTGAGGGCAATGGAATTATAGCTCTGTTTGATCTCCCCTTCTTCATCCTTGATGAGATTGGACATATAATTTATAGCCCATCCCGGCTTTGTACCCAAATAATCAATGGGGGTCATTGTAGAAAGCCTCTTGTGTTACATCACGATCTTTGCGAAGACGGTTGATCTCTTTTACTTATAAAATCTCCTGCCCCATAAATAACATATATCTTACTTGCGGGGGAACTAATATTAGTGCATATTAGAAGTTGTGAGTAATAATGGAAAATAAAGGAAGTGTGTTGATGCAAAGGTATGAACTAGGGAGATTGTTAGGCCAAGGCACATTCGCTAAGGTTTATTATGCAAGGAACCTTAAAACTGGCCAGAGTGTGGCCATCAAGGTAATTGACAAAGAGAAGGTATTGAAAGTTGGACTGATTGATCAGATTAAACGAGAGATATCCGTAATGAGACTAGTTAGGCACCCAAACATTGTGCAGCTTTATGAAGTCATGGCTAGCAAGAGCAAAATTTACTTTGTCATGGAATATTGTAAAGGAGGTGAGCTTTTTAACAAGGTAGCCAAGGGCAAGCTGAAGGAGGATGTTGCAAGGAAATATTTTCAACAGCTGATCAGTGCAGTTGACTTTTGCCACAGTAGAGGCGTTTATCACAGGGATTTGAAACCTGAGAACCTTCTGTTGGATGATAATGGGAATTTGAAGGTTTCAGATTTTGGTTTGAGTGCCCTTGCAGAATCCAAGCGGCAAGATGGATTACTCCACACAACTTGTGGGACCCCTGCCTATGTTGCTCCTGAAGTGATCAGCAGAAAGGGATATGATGGGCCCAAAGCTGACATTTGGTCTTGTGGGGTGATCCTGTTTGTTCTATTGGCTGGGTATCTTCCATTCCATGATCCAAATCTGATGGAGATGTATAGGAAAATTGGTAGAGGAGAGTTTAAATGCCCATCGTGGTTTCCATCTGATGTACGAAGGCTGCTGTCAAAGATCTTGGATCCAAATCCAAATACTAGGATATCCATTACGAAGATTATGGAGAGTTCTTGGTTCAGGAAAGGGTTGAACTCAAAATCAACATCAAGCAAGGAATCGACTCCTATAAATGCTGATGCACCTTGTGATTCTTCTGAGAAAAGTGGAACTGCCGCTGAGGCAAAGCAAGAGTTAGCAAAGCTAAACAACTTGAATGCTTTTGATATCATCTCTCTTTCAGCAGGATTTGACTTGTCTGGTTTGTTTGAGGAAAGCGATAAGAAGAAAGAAGCACGATTTACATCCAGGAAGCCTGCCTCAGTCATCATCTCAAAGTTGGAGGACATTGCTAAGCATCTTAAGCTGAAGGTGATGAAGAATGATGGAGGCTTGTTGAAATTGGAGGGATCAAGAGAAGGGAGGAAAGGAGCGTTCTCAATTGATGCAGAGATCTTCGAGATCACTCCAACTTGTCATTTGGTTGAAGTGAAAAAATCAAGTGGAGACACTTTGGAGTATCAGAAGATATTGAATGAGGACATAAGGCCAGCTCTCAAGGACATTGTTTGGGCTTGGCAAGGTGATTTACAGCAGCAGCAACAACAACAAGAATAACAGCTGCAGGCCAGTTAGAATGTGCTTGTATGGGCCATTCTTTTTCCTTGGAATTAATGTTTTCAAGAAGTATCACTTGTTTTCTTATATTGTGATTTGGTGTCTGTTTTTTCCTTACAAGTTATGATTATTTGTGTTGTTTTGTTGTGGTCGTAAATTTGCTTTCCTATGTAAGAAAGAATTAACTGTTACATAATTAATGTCTGTTATATTGCTTGTTGCTCCCTACCCGTCTGTTTCTGAATTCTGATATTGATTGGTTTAAGTTACTGACGGTTCTAAAGCTTATTGAGTTGTCTTTTAACTTTCCTACGAAGTATGTTTGATTTCTCATCTCCTGGTTGGTGGTTACAATATCATATTAGGATTACTCTCATCTTAAGAAACCCAGATTTCTCATCCAACAAATTCACCCAGTCTGCGACTTTTAAAAGCCCAATTCTCCGAAACTTCTTAATACTGTTAGGTGATTGTGTTTATTATTTAATTATGGACGAGCTGTTGAGGCGTCGTTGTCCATTATTTCATTGAGAATTTTTGGCAGACTTGGTCATCAACTCATGGGACGGTGCAGTTCAAGCCCATAGAACGGCTCACAAACAATTAAACAACTGAGTTTTTGACTCTTTTAGTTTAAAATTCATGATTAAAATAGAATGTCGGGATATTGCATTGTTTATGCAGTCAATTTCTGAAAGCTTAGACAAGAGGAAAAAAAATAAATAAATAAATAAGTGGTCGGTGTGGCTTCTCTGTGGGTGCTCTCTTGGGTCGTAATTAGTTGTGTTTGGGATGGTTTCATTTGGCAAACTGGCAAAGCACCAATTGATCCCTGCGATTCATTGCCAATCATCGGAGACAAGCATAGACAGGGCGCCATCATATGGCCCATTTACTAAAATGATGGGAATTGACACAAAAGTAGGTCGAGCAACGTGTGTGGTTTTCGTTTTGTAGGGACTCCATGTAGCCCACAGTAATGCAGAAGATTTGGCCAAGGTTACGGATATTCACTTTGAAGACAAGGGATAGACGAGTAAAGCAACCACTCACAACACTCACCTAACTTAATACCTAGGCTAGAATTTCAAGTCATGATGGAAATCATCCTTTGAAGAAGATAATAATAATAATTTCAAGAAGGAACCCACTCTGATTTGATGCGAAGAGTTGGTCCACACGCCATACAAATTGCCCAGCCTTAATGAGTTGGAGCATCTCAATGTTTGATTTGGCGGGGTCTGGACAACTGGACCTCTCTGGTCTTCTTCATTCTCCAGTCTGGAGCCTCAGGACACATCTATCCTAATCACAACTTGTCTTCTTCTTCCTTTGCTTGTGTTCCTATCCGAATGATTGAAAACATCCGTAGATACATCCAGGCCTCAGAAACTAGAGCAACCAGATATTTATAACCACCAGAGTTTCCAAACATTTCGCCTTACCCTTTTCCATGAAAGTAAATTACTTGCATTCTTGAGGAATTAATTGTATTGGTTATGACCTTGCCTTCTCTTTATTTGGATGGTTCGGATTGTGCATCAACACTCCATCCTTTACATGCATTCTGCTACTTCTATGTTCCTAAAACAATTTCTTTTTGTAAGCAAAATGCTAGAAGCCATTGACAATTGCAGGACACTTCATTCCCGACTCCAACATACTACGGCTATTCTGGCAAAGTGACAAGTGGATTTATGCTTGAACCTCAACCCAACTCAAGGGATTTGCCATTTACAAATTACAAGCGCCCCTTCCGGCCTTCCCCCGGCTCTAAGCTGGAGAACAATTCTACAGAAATCTTCAACCTGTTGAGGGCAGCATCCTCCTTTGGAGACAGCTGAGGCTGTGCGTCCTCTTTTAGACAAAATCCACTGATTCACGGTTCCGATAATTGAGATTGATGCAATGTGTTGTGGCTCTACTGGGTGGAGCATATAATTGAGGCTGCATTTTGGCATTCCTTATTTTAAGGATTTATCTCCTTTTTGCAGTTAAAAACTCAGTGTTTATAGAGGCATTTTAACTGAAAAAAGGAGTTTAGTCCAAATGCTGCCTTAATTTGGATAGAAATTTCTAATTTAGCACCATTGGAGCTTCTTGTAATGATGAAGTCACCTCACGATAATGCGTGCAAGACCTCCACCATTGTCAAATTCTCTCCGACTCTTGAGAATGATTTTCGGTTCCTAAAACCTGTATTTGCTTCTTTTTTTTTTAATTTTTTGTATAATGCATTTGCTTCATTCATCAAGCACCAAATTATCATGGGAAATAATTATTACCAAGGAATGACTCAATTATTCCCATAGGATTAGGAGGGAGGAGGCAGCCAGTGCACAATTATTCTGAAATAAAGAGAATGATACCGTGTATGATGTTTGTTGCCTGGGGAAGTTGGTGCATTGTCCAGTTCTTGCTCATGCCAAATATAGCATAGGAAATAATACTCGGAAACCTTTGCTTATTGAAACGTGGATATAAAAAGAAGCCATGTCCAAGCCATGATAATAGAGATGTCAATTACTTCTTCCCGTAAAAGGATCAGCTGCTTTTCTCATTCAATATTGGAAGAAAACAGGTGATTTCATCAGATAAATAATCTCATTTTCTTGTACTATGCAAGGGAGCTATGCATTCAGATGAGAAAGCTGATTTATTTCTTTTCTATTGAAGCGGGGAATCACAATAAGACAGTCTACAATATAGTAAACATTATTCATACAAATGCAATGTATTTGCTTTTTTTGTAGGTTTACATATGCAACGTACTATAGTTGGATGAAAGTCGGTGACTTTGTCAAGTCAATAATCTGAGGACAAGAAGCCCTCTTCTTCTTACGATAGAAATAAGTTACACAATCAGGCGAGGGACTCAACAGATTTATTATCTCCACTTCAGGAGAGTAAAGAGATCTCTTGGCTGATGGCGCTTGATCATCATCAGCAGCATTTGGAGTTTGAAGGTGCTTGTCTGATTTACCTGAATTATTACTCTCTTCATTCAAGCTGAAGGGATTTCTACCTTCCATCATTTCTTCTGTGTCCAGGGGGCTGATTATACTTGAAGAAGATATTCTCAAGGGATTTCTATCTTCAATTATTTCTACTGCTTCCGATGGACTCGCCAGGGAACCGACAATACAAACAGGCATTCTGTCATCTTCCCCTTCTCGATTTTGAGGATCTTTTAGCAGACAAAAACCATCATCTTCAGTATGTTCAGATTTGTCACCAGTAGTCTTGTCACCACTATTATAAACTGGTTTAACATGCAAAGCCTCCTTAACTTGGTCTCCACCATTAAAATTTTTATCGTCTTCACTTTTGTCTCCATCAATGTGTTTGCTTTCATCTAAAGCCTGTCCACCTCCGATGTAGTGGGGAAGTTCATCCATGGGACAAACTTGGACCTTCATGTGCTCTGGCAATCTTGGGCAGCCAGCAGAATATTTTGTGTACTTGGTCGAGAAAAAGTTCACTGTGAGGTTCAAGCTGGTAGAAAAGAAGTAACAGTATTAGTGTTTAGCTAGTGGTCAAGGAAACTCCAATAGTAGGGTATAAGGCTGCTATGGACTGGTCAAGTGTTCACATAGCTAATCCAGAAATCTGATGGATGGTTTGGATCAACCACAAGATTAACTCAACTGGTTTCTATCTTATAAGTGACCCTCTGGATTAGACTTGTGCATCTAACTGTGTCCATTTTGGCTGCCACCTCAGTTTCTATATACAGAAAAAAAAATAAAAAATAAAAACTGTTTTTACAGGAGGCGTGCAACAACCATGCACTGCCCTCACCCATCCTAACCACAAACATACAATAAACACAGAAAACATCCAACCTCTGTATGTGTGCTAGAGAGAGAGATTAGTTACCTCTGCCAGGCTGGAAGTGTAAGCATTGTGTAAGCAAGTTTGATCTTATTGGCAACCCCAGAGAGGGACTTGAAACTTGCAGCTGCATTCCTTACTGCCAAGGACTCTTTTGGGTGCTGCCAAGCCCATTCAAACTGCAAGTTTCAGTTGAGCAGAAGTACTTCAGTATGCAAGTGATGAACCATGAAGCTGAATTTAAAATCAACTATAGTGTCCTGTATCACATATTGCCTCCACATGAATCCTACAAGTTTAAGAGCAATTTTAGTGATTTCAGCCATTTAATTAGGTATACGGACTGTCCGAATGCAGGAACTTTTATGAATAACCCATCCTACACAGGGATGGCAACGAGTAGGATACTTGCGAAAATTGCCCTTCCCATTCCTAAACCCACTTAGGTACCCTTGGTCCCAAATCCATTTAACTTTTCCTCCTAATTTCCCAAACCCGTTAAACCCATCCCACCCAATTATCATTTGGCATCATTGCTATCATTTTTAATTGAACCTATTTAACACTCCACAACAAAACTTATTTAAACATACCACTTATGACATTAATTAGTTACATTAATTATCTCTACCTCATAATTAACTCAATTAATTCCATTTAAGTCTATTTAAAACCAATCCTATATAAAACTAGAATGTTGTTAGAAAGATTTGAACCCAAGCAGCTTACTTGAAATATAAGTATTCTAACCACTACACCACTCCATGATATCTTGTTAACTATAAGCAGCCATATTATATCCATGGGTATTTAAGTACAGAAAATTCATTTGCAAATACTCAGGTCTTGAGTCATAACCAAACCAGCTTTGAATGCTTTTGCCTCTATAATCTCAATTGTCCATTTCAGAGATATTCTTGGATGACTAATTTCATTAAGAGAATGCAATTTTTCTATTATGACATATCACCATTGTTTATTAAACTTAGTTTATTTTCAATTTTGTAACCTTTTACATGATCATTAATGAGATTTATAATATTAATTTGTTAAGCTATGCATACAGCATATATAGTTTACACTTCCCACTTTTATGGTGGAATTACACTTGTAAGTCATAAACTATTAAAATACGCGTTTCTTATGTATAGAGTTATTAGAGCTGTAGATTCTATATAATTCATATATTTTTAATATATTTGAGTTTCCATGGCATATCTATGCGTATCTTAATTTTTCCATTGTATCCATGCATATCTAAAGTGTATCCAGAATCCATATACATATCTTTAAATTGCCAATTCAATATTCTTTTGTAGTTTTTGATACTTTGAACTTTGCACCCAATTTTACATTACAAAAGTAAAATGTGATGCCCCTCTTAAGTAGAAATGGTGTGGTAGGCTAGTGCTAAAGATGGGTTTATAATCAGGTATCAGGAGTAGGTATCAACCTTTTTTACTATGTATATTATTTCTTATAATATATTTAATAATATATATATATATGGGTTTATAATCAGGTATCAGGAGTAGGTACCCACTTTAAATATAATTGGGTTCAGGTCCTAGGTACGCTAAGGTCAAACCTAAACCTGTCCCAAGCCCTATAAGGCTTTGATAAACAAGTCCTGTTAGGGTTGGGACAGGTCAGGTACCCTAATATTCCCGTGAAATTGCCATCCCTAATCCTACAATTGGTACATGATAAATGGTGCACATCCATGGTACAAGACAGAGAAAAGAATAGATCCAAACATTCAACCTCTGTATCCTCTGTATGGGTACAAGAGACTACTGTATGAAAAGAATAAATTCAAATATGAAATAAATGCAGTTTAATTACAGTAACTTGGAAAATGTTCAAAGTGCCAAGTGAAAAATACCGACCAACTTAAGATAGCTTCGTGCAACATGAAAGTAAAAGGAAAAAAAAATTCTTGGCATAATATTTACCTGAAGTGCAGAGACATTTGTTGGGAAACCATATATGCATAATATCATTTCCCAAGGGCGCATTCTCTTTGTTCTCCATGCACCAGAAGTTATTTCGCCATTATGTTGCCTTATTCGACGTCGAGGATTTATGGTGAATCTATAGTTCCCCAAGGGATATGTTTGATTAGTTAAGCCATTCCTCAATTGAACTTACATGCATACAAGTCAATAGAATCTCAAGACTAAAATCTCTCTTTGCTACCAATCGCTATACTTGGTAGCAAAAATACAACAAATGGAGGATTATAGATATACATGTGGAAATGAATTCTATCCAAATTAGTGAAATAACATAAAAAGTCACTCAAATGATAAAAGAAGACACATAAAAGGTGCTTCCTCTGGTATGGGAAGTGAGATTTTGAAAAACTAAATATAATTTAAAGAGATTTGCAGATTATATTCATGAAATTTGATTGTTTATTTGAGGCTTACCCCTTTTGGGCCTACCCATTGCCTCTAGGGCCAACAACCTTGCCTACTAAAAATGTAGGCAAGAAATTGAACGACACTATGACCATAACCCATTCAAATATGATCTTTACCAATAAATAAGCATGGTTTTATTCCCAGCTCAAAGGGTTCCTCGTTTACTAGTTTTGAAGATTAAACACCTATAATATAGGTTCACCATTATAATTGTCTAACCTGATAAATTGGAAAAAAGAAGTAAGGCCTTAAAAATTATGGGGACAAGGAATTAGAAACCTTAAAAGTTCATAGAGGTTTCTGCAGACAGTTAGAAGTCATCAAACAGGTATTAATCATAAGAAAATGCTAATATTCCAGTATTTTATCAATTAATAAATGAATTTGATCAGACTCCAGAAAATCCTACTTGAATCTGAGAAGCGATTCCCTTGAGAAGTTTGAAAAGAGAAAGAAAAGAAAAATAAATGAGAATTTCAAAACTTTAAGCGATGGAAAGGAACAGCATAAATAAGCCCAGAATAACATTCGATAGCAAAATTGGAACGAGAGTAAGGAGGAACGAACCCGATATAGGTCTGGCCTTTATGCCTAGGGCTCAAGGAGCAGAGAAGATAGCACGCAAAGAACCCACCTCCTTTCCCTTCCTTCCCCGTGTCATGCCCTACTTCTTCGTCTTCCTCTTCTTCCGAAATTCGGATTAATGATCTTTCTTCCTCTTTTCTTTTTCTCATCTCTCTCTCTCTCTCTAGCCGCTCTAGTGATGGATTCGACCGTTAGATACCCTAGCAGAGTCGGAAACTATTTTTAAAGCTTGAGCTTTAAAGCAGGGATTCCTCTATATGCTCAAAATGACGAAAAAGCCCCTCAGAAACACCTTGACAGACTAAATACAGTTCGACTACTGTTAAGTTGGTTTAGCTGATTGACTAAGTGTAATAAAACTATCCTTACTTTTTTTGAAAATTGATTAATACTTGCCGTTGATTCTATTAATAAAAAGACAAAAAGACTATTTTACCCTTTATTCTTCAAATTTTCAAAATAAAATAGATAAAAGAAGAAAGAGATATTGGTTCATCAAGATCATAACCTTTCAAACCCAAAAACTCCACTCTGGTGAATCAAAAAGAAGAATAAAGGGTGGTGTGAAGCAGCAACCCATTGCAGAAGTCTTTACAGATCATTTGTCGCCAAATCGTTCTTCATAGGCGTGTCCTTTTTGGTGAAGAAGGCAGGGAAAGGGAGAGAACTCAAAAGGTGGGAAGTGAGAAAAATTGATCCTGCAAACACATCTCCATCTGTTGCCTTTGTGTCTGTGAAATGGATTTGCTTCGGAACCATTTCAAGTTTTGGACCAAAACGATTAGAAGAGCTACGTGAGGCTTGAAAGTGGATTCCATCTTTGTGCACATCATTTGGCGGGAAAAGCCTCACGCCGCTCTTGGTACCTCCATCTCTCCCCAAAACAACAATGGAATCCGATTCAAACTCCAATGGGTCTCACATCTTTGCAACTCCGCCTGGAGGAATCCAAAACCTTCACAAGCTCCTCATCTTTCTCCTCTCAAAAAATCAACTATTAATTGGCATAAGGAGATCCAAGATAGAAGCCCATCTCCTCAAGGTAAAAAACCCTTGAAAACCAAAGCCGAAACTAAAACTAAAGAACCTGAGGATACCGAACAAGGAGTGCCTATGAAGAAACAGATACCAGAGAGTGAAGAACCAAGAAAACATAAAGCTTACGCTTTGCTTGTAAGACTTTCTAACAAGCTTTATAAAGCTCAAAAAATGTTGGTTGTCCATTTCCAACCGCAAGTAATAGATGTCGGTGCATCAGAATCTGTGCCAAAGGGGACAATGAGATATTCCGTTGGATCTGGTGCCAATACTAAAATTTATAATAAAGGTAAGTTGGGTATTTTTGGAAATTATAACAGTCACATGCTGCACATTTGAATGATTTAGTAGGGAAAGCGTTAGTCAATTTTCAAATAATAAGGGTATACTTAGTCAATTAGTTAAACCATAAGGATAGTTAAAGAAAATTTACCCCATCTCATATTGGAATTTGATAGTATTGGATTTGTGGATTTGCAAGCTCGGATTCCAAATACCAATATGGCAATACCATACACGGTCCCAATAGCCACTGCAACTGTACAACGGTCTTTGTGGCGAGATGTTCCCGATGTACGGTCCCCCGCAACATCCCACACCACATCCCTGCGATGTTGTGGGGGGCAGTCTTGTGGGGGGTGATTCGGTCTCCCGCCTGTAGTCAGACCCAAAAAAGTATTGGATAGGGAAGGGAGAATTGGAATTTGCTCCTCACAGAGCGCACCTCACACTGATATTACAGCCCCATTCCTTACCAAGAACCCAATTAGATGGGAGGTGGAGGGCAACTTTTAACCCTAGCTTGGGGATTGGGATTTATTTCATAATTGGGGTCAGGGGATGGGAAATATGATCCTTGCCCGTTGTCATTCCTAATATTGTGCCATTTTTTTACTTTTTGCAAGATGAATAATAGGGGATTTTTAAATTAACAAAATCTGTCATATTTTTTAAATAATATCCAAATACATAAACATGAAGAAAATCCAGTTTTGCTCTTATTTTTGTCTCATTAGGGTGAAAATGGACCAGATCATCGCAATTAGATCCTAATTTGAATCTGATCCTATTTTGTCTTATTCGATATCCTCCTTATTGAATTTTTGGATCGGATCAGATAATTAGATCGAATTCAAATCACCTCTCTATCCGATCCAAAAGAATCCAATCTGAGTTATATATAAGTTATTTATTTATAATATTTTATATTGTGTTTTTGTATTTTTTATAAAAGACATGTATATATTAATATATATGATGAAAATAGTTGAAAAAATATTTATATTTTTTTGTTTTTCTTTATATAAACTGTTATGCATTTTTCTTTTATTAATTTATTAATTTCTTTAGAAATCAAATCGAATTGGATCAAATTCAAATATCCAACATCATTAACAGATTCGGGTTAATCAACATTTGTGAGATTTGATCAGATCTTCGGATTAAACTGGATGTGGGATTTGTATTATCATATCAGATCGAGACATATCCTGATTCAAATCCGATCCGATCCAATCCATTTGCATCACTATGTCTCGTCTCCTACCTTTCCACTTAGGCCCTATTCATTTGTCAATATTTAGTGGGGTAAGTCAGTCAATTAGTATAAGTTGACCATAGTACCTACGTTGAATTGCTGCTATATTGGATTTCACGGTAATTCAGGATACTTGAAAGTATCAATTACAACTTACCCGCCCACCTGCTGAAGTCGATAGCGCTCTCTCCCTCTCACCTCTCTCTTTGCCTGAATCACTGGATACAAAAGAAAAATGTATTACCCAAATAAATAAGAATGAAGTAGTGAAATACTGACTCCATGGATTTTTAAACTTTACGCAAATACCATAGTGGTTTCCAAACAAGAGTTAATACTTTGAACCCGGGCACTCATCAATACTCCACCGAGTAATTGTTTCTCCATGCGCCTAGAAGAAAACTATACCATAGGGCGTTGGATCATGTTTTCTCAATAGAGATGAAGTGCTGAACCCATCCATACTTGATAAAAGAAATTCTATACCATGTTCATGAATTCAAACTATGGATTCTTACACTATTCACATGGCAAAGGTTATTTTAACCCAAATTTGGCCGGCCCATTTAAGTATCAAAAGAAACATGTGCTCCCTAGGGATGTCGGTGGATCGGGTTATGTGGTAAATCTGCCTTGACCCGTTAGGGTTGTGTTGAGGTAAGTCATGCCAAACCCGACCCACTGGCACAGTAGCATTGCAAATTTTGTTAAAACAGCCTTAGTTGAATATAGGGGTACAATTCGCAATTCGTCGGACAGGTTCAGTCGGATCGGGTTGGGGTCCAGTTAAATTAATTTGTAACTGTTTACATCCCTATGTGCTGCCTTTTTTGTCCCACAAACTAATTTGTAACGTGAAAGCTTTCTTGATAGTCCAAAAAGTTTCGGACTGTCAATGGGCCGAGTCTAGGAATTGATGGCTCTGTGCTTTTGTCTTGATTAATAATTGGTTAAGATTGATGCTTACTTTTCTGAATTGATCCACACCCAAACTGATGGAGGCCCATCTCAAGGCCCATCTCCTCACATAGGCGGCCATGCAAGAGATAAGAGGCACATCCAAGATAATTCAAAAATTCAAGAATTATCAAGAATTCAAGAAGTCCAAGATCCAAGGCAATTCAAGAATCCAAGATAATTCAAGAAACCCAGAATTCAAGATAATCCAAGATTCATACCAAGATCAGGATAACCCATGCATGGATCAGATCTAGAGAGATCGGATGGTGGAAGATTTCGATCCAAGCAAGGCAACATCAAGGAGAGTTCAATCCTAGCTAATTAGATGTTCAAGAATTATCACAATTTTCTTTCCTAGTTACTCTGCAATTTCCAAATGTATTACAAATACTGCTATTTACAAGCTAATAGACACAAATACTCCTCTAAGAGATTCACGTATAGCTTCGCTACGAAGCAGGTGTTCGTCCGGTGCTTGCATAGCCAGCCCGGTTTAGTGCTTCCACGCTACATCACAAACCAATTATATAATTAATAAATATATAAAGGCGTTTTTTGTAATTTTTGTTATATTTTATATTTAAGCGTAAAATACAAAAAACCTTCCTTAAAGTTTCTAACAATCATAAAAACTTTTCTTATAATTTCATTTTACCAAAAATCTCTCTTCTATTTTTGAAAAATTCAACAATTACCTCCCTTCCATCAATGACCAAGACGAAAAATGTTAAAAAGATGATCATTTTTTCAAAATACCTATTTTACCCTTTTATGAATTAAAATAACCATGTCTCAGCAACTCCATAATCTGCCCGAATACTGTTCATCTTCTTCCTCACGACGCTGCTCGAACACTATCCCGCTCGACCAATTTGGTTCTACTTGGCTGACCGCTATTGAGTTCAGAAGATAATGTGGCACATCGATTATACAAGGAGAAGAGTCCCAATCTCTCTACCTCTTCTAGATCGATCTCCTTGACTACGATTCTCTTGTGGCCGCGATTAATGGAACCGTCAATGTATTCCACCTTGCTTCCCCTGCATTGTGAATAAAGTTGAAGACCCTGAGGTCCTTCTCGGAGGCTCTGAGGCAAAACAAATGAAAAATAATTTTATTTAATTAATTGAGAGAGCTTTTGGATCTGGCGATCAAAGGGACGATTAATGTGCTAAAAGCGGCGAAGGAGTGTGGGGTGAGACGGGTGGTGGTAACGTCATCGATCTCTGCCACCATACCGAGTTGGTACTGGCCTGCTGATGTCGTCAAAGGGGAGGACTATTGGACGGATGTCAACTATCGCAAGCAGAACGGAGTAAGTTTTACAATTACCTTTCTCGTAGTTTCTAGTTGAGGTTTGAATATCCGATTAAAATTTAATTTCCTAGGTGTTTTGGTGTAATACTGTTATTTGGAAATGTGCGTCTGAATTATCGAACCCATCCATCTCCTTTGATGGAAAATGTAAAATTTCATTCTCATGTCTGTAAATTAAAATTCACATAGTTAGTCCAAAAAAAAGTGTATGATTGTTAATACAAATCCTAATAAATCAGAGAGAGAGAGAAAAACTGAGGAGCCTCTGTGAATCGAATAGAGGTTGAAGTCAGAGCATGTTGTTTGTCAAGTCAAGAGTGAAGAATTGAACCCCAGCCTCAAAGCACCCACATCCAACTGTACAAGATTCTTCTCCAACTGAAGTGTCTCCGATAGGTCGATGCCCGGAACCACCGTATAAGGCCCATTGCCAAAGAAAACAACTCCGTCTGATGAGGTTGACGATGGCAAACAGATAGCGAACTTCCGATCGAAATTAAATGTTGCTACAAGCTACAACAGTAACCCAATTTGGTTGCGACCGAAACCCACCATTCCCTTGACACCGTCCCCCAGATGAACCAAGAGAGGAATCGGGGCACATGAGAAGAGAAAGTGATGGGCGGCAACAATTGGGTTAGGCTCTGATCCGTACGTAGAGGGAAGGGCTATCACATCTACTACAAGCTCGCTACCAGTTACAGTGTCGGTGACGGTGTTCTCTAGGGACAACGACACCAATATGGTTGTTATAGCCAAGGCGAGGAGTAGAGAAGCAGAAGGGAGAGTGTGAGAGATTGAGAGAATCAAAGGGAAATTAAAGAAGAGGGAAGGTTGGAGGGGGAGTGCATGGCTATTTTAATAAAAAAACATATTCACATCAATTCGTAAAAGAGTAAAATAGGTATTTTGAAAAAAAATAATCTCTTTAATGTTTTCCGTCTTAATCATTGACGGAATGGAGGTATTTGTTGAATTTTTCAAAAATAAAGGGAAGGTTTTTGTTAAAGTAAAACTATGAGAGAGGTTTTTATGATTATAAGAAAAATGGAGGATTTTGTATTTTACCCTATATTTAAAAAGATAATTTTGGTTAAAAAATACTTTTTTATCAACGTATAAATAATTGTCATAATAATGAAGTTTTAAATTGTTATTATCTTAGTTAATTATAGAAAGTTCAGACCGATTGTCGCAATAAATAATTGAAACGGTTCTGCGTCTATAAAACCTATTAATTATTGGTATGGGACTGATACATTATCCTGGACCACACCCGCCCCATTTACAAGCTTGACACAAACTACTGCCTATGATTGATCCCATTTTAGACAGATCTACCATTTCAGATCATGTCTAAAGAGGATTGATGGGATAAGACATCCAATCTCTATCCTAATATATGCTTTCCAGGTTGGATATTTTGTTGGAAAATTTTCCAATTAGTACTATGTACTTTAATGTCACTTTGGTTTTCGAACTTTAAAACAATATTTTAGTATCTGAATTTTTAAGAGGTGACAATTTAATACTTACTGTTAATTAGCTGTTAATCAACCATTAAATGACATTTTTAAAAAACATAAATATCCTTCAAGTATCTAATTTTCTTTATTAATTATCTAAGATTTGACAAAAAAAATATTAATAATTTCAAATTATTGCCTCTTCTATTCAAGAAAGTTGGGGTCACTAGAATGCCCACTCATATGTAACCCTAATTTTCTTGAATGGAAAAAGCAAGAATTTGGTACTATTAATTTTTTGTCAACGTTTAAATAGTTGATAAACAAAATTAAATGACACTCGAAGGGCATTTATGTCCTTTTCAAATCACTTAACGACATATTAACTGCTAATTAATGACAAGTACTGAATTATCATATTTTGAAAATTCAGTTACTAAATTATCGCATTTTAAAATTTGAAGACAAAAATGACACTAAACACAAAGTACAGAGGAATTTTGCCTTTGTTGAGAAAATTATTAAGTTTCCAATATTTTTTTTTCTTTTAATACAAGAGGAAAATGAAACCTAGGTAAGAATAACTCTACCCCAATAATCCATTTCACATATATACCCAACTTCCCTATACTTTTAACAAATTGAAACTTCCCATCATTTTTCAGAAATAGGCTCACACACCTCATATCATATATTTTTGCTTAGAACCTACTCCTAAGCTACTCCTGAGCAAAAATAATGCCATTATTAGAATCTCATATCACGAATATAAATTAAATAGGGTGTAAGCGAGCTGAACCTACTCCTGAGCTACTTGAGCGTGGCTCATTAAATTTATATTCGTGTTGTCTAATATATTTTTATTTTTAATATCTTTAATATCAATTTATTTATAATTTTTTTGGTAATAATATATTTATAATGGAGTTGATATTCAAGTAGGAAATTCAAAACTCAATCGAAGCTCATCTTGAGTTTGAAACTCGGAACTTTCAGTTGAGTCGAAGTCAAGTAGCCCAATACCTGACTCGACTTGATTATATGTTAGTTTCAGAAATTTTCATAAACTAAAAAGAAACATTGGCATTGGGAATTTAGATTTTTTCAAGCTTTGTTCGGATCCAGAAAGTATTATCTATCAAGGATTTTGTTCAGAGAAACTGAGAGATATCAGAGAAATTACAAAGGAGGAGATTATTTTTTCAACCAAAAAAAAAATGTATAAAACTAGGGTTGTATGAAACTTGATATTGTATACCATGAACGAAAACAATTGATTATTATTATTAGATAAAAGAAGAATAAAATGAATTGAAGACATTTCTACCAAATTTGAATGACGGTTTAGCTGAGGGTTAGAATTTTTAAGACTAAAGTACAGTTAGAATGGGTGTCAGTTGGACCGAAATTGCGCACATTAGTGTATAGAATGGGGGGTTTGACACTTTGAATGTTTATTGCTTTACAGTAGAATTCAAAAATCTACATTAGGCCTGTCCTTATTTTTTCCGAAAAATTTAACATCCAGTAATCCAAACCCTACATCACTTCAGATCAGAAAGGGGTGGATCCATGTTCAATGACAAGGGGTGGATCCATGTTCAATGACTTCAAGCAACATAAACAACAGGAGGATATAATGCACAATAAAACCTACCTAAATTCCCTTTGACCCCCAAGGAGGTGGAAAAAAAAGTGAAGAAAAAGAGAGCAAGGACGAGAGGAGAGAAGAACATCGAAGAAGCAATCAATCGGAGCGCTTGGAAGAAGAAACCAAGTTCCTCCACAGGTAGCGGCCACTGGCCATATCAACGCAAGTCCAGAATCCCGAGGCAATAGCAGAGAAGACCTGTAGCCGAAAATGGATAACAAATAGAATCTACTGAAGTAAACAATGAGGAAAGGAAGGACAACATGGAACCGTAGATTTCTTAATTGATAAGGTACCTTTGTTGATAGAGGAACCGACGGAGAGGATGATTCGTGAAAGGGAGGATCTGCCGATGATTCGTCAGGATCTTCTTGTTTCGATTTCAGGTTCTTCAACACGAAAAATCCAGCGAGGGTGGCGGAAAGGAAGAGCAGAATCAACCTTAGAGGACACATGATCGATTTTTAGACAGACGAGAGAGAGAGGGAGGGAGGGAGGGAGATAGAGAAGTATGAAATAGAGTGAAGAGTGAAAATCGTATTATGATTTTCCGGCAGCCGGCAGAATAGATTTTCCCATCGGTGGGGGTGGGACACCACCGTCGGCTGGGTATTTTGACTTTGTACGCGTTAGGCAACGCCTCACTCCTCACTCCTCACCCACTTCTCCTTTGTCCCATTTGGCTATTTTCTTCTAGATGGTAGGAGTAAAAGAAGAATATGCGGGTAGGTCGCTACTATTATCCAATCTCTACTCTGTAATGTGTAATCTGTACTGTATTGCACTGGGCCTACCATCTCTGTCTTCTGATTCTTTTTCTGGTATTCGGTGCTATGCACCATTACATAATTTTGAGCTGGGCTGATAAGTCATTTTTCCAAAAAATATGTGATCTTTTTCAAAGTTTCAATAAAACCAGTCGACGGCTGGCTCTGAAGGGTGCTCACGAACAGAACCGTGGGATGTTTTTTTGAACCGAATGGGTATTATCAGATTTTGGAAAATTGATAATTGAAATCAAATCAAAGCCAGTCGATTAGTCGGTCGACTGATTTGATTAACCATTGGTTTGGTTTGTCAAATTTCAAATTTTTACAATATTTATTATAAATATATATAAAATATTATATTTTAAATAATAAATAATATATTATAAATATATATTTATATATAATGCATATTTCTTAATTTATAATATATATAAATATATATAAAATATATAGAAATATATGTATACCAATCGGTTCGGTTAACTGCCAGTTATTTGTATTAGTTAATCGAAATAAACCAGAATCTTCGATTTTTTAAAAACATTGAACCAAAACTGAACCAACCAGTTCGGTTAACCGATTTTTCAATTCAGTTTTGGTCGGTTTTTTCGATTTGGTTTTTTGTTTTTTTTTTTGCTCACCCTAATTGGCTCATTGATGTATTAGCCGGTTTGTTCCAACATTGACATGGAATCAAATCCCGCAACCTTCAGGAAGGGAAAAAGGGGTAGGGGGAAGTTTTTAGGGAGAATGATTGATCAGCCCAGCTCAGAATTCTTTAGCCCCACCATATAGGGGGATGAATCCTGATTGTGGATTGATGCCAAATCCACGGGTAGGATGCGATTTATAAGGGGGCTACTAGTAGACTATGGGAGGCTGTAATTCAAAATTCTGCAGTGAGCTGCAGAGTACTTTTCCCTAAAAATTGGGCTAAATAATTCTGAGATGGGCTGATCAGTCATTCTCCCTAAAAACTCCCCCCTGGCCCCTTTTTTCCTCCCTGAAGGTTGTGCGATTTGATTTCATGTCAACGCTGGAACAAATCAACTAATACATCAACGAGACAACCCTCAATTGGTTCTATCTTCTGATTTTGAGACTTTGAAAAAGATCACATAATTTTTCAGCCATACGATTTATGCCTCGCTTCACTTCACCCAAACTTCGCCTTCCTTGTTTGCTTACACCCAACTCTTCCGTCATCCCCCACTAGGGGTGATCATGGGTCGGGCCAAGCTTTGCACTTATGATAAGGGCTATTGCTTAGGCCCGGGCCTGGCCCGGGGTTTCGGGCCTGAAACATAAGCCCTAACCTAGGTTTACACGGGCCCGGGCTGGACCGGGCCTGACTCTAAGCCAATGTCTTTCATATATATAAAATATTACATATTTATAATATTTTATATTAAATGGCATAACATGCATATAAACTTATTTTATACATTATATAATATAAATTATACATGTCATGCTATAATATTTATATATAAAATTTATAATATAATTTAAAATAACTTGTATACATTATACACAAAATGTGTAAGTTTAAATATATGCGGGCTGGGCCAGGCCTGAACATAAAACCCAGGCCCAAGCCCGAAATTTCCAGGCCGAGCCTATGCGGGCCGACTGAAATGATCACCCCTATCCCCCACCCCCAGTCAAAACAAAATTAAAAAAGAAAGTATGCTCTTTCTTTCCCTCCAACTTTTTTCAACTGCCCAGACCATATGTAAGGGCGGTGTTGGCATCAATGCCATCGCCCCAGAAAATGGTTTCATGTTTTTTGCTCCAATTTTTTTTAGAAAAATATTGCTCCAAACCATGTTTTAGAAATCGAGAAGGCGTGGTGGTTTATGGAAACATAAAATCCAATGTTTTCTAAAGGTCCAGCCCGTTGTTGCTAATGGTACAATGACATGGCACCAATGTGGCATCACCTGAAGCGTTAGATAATGTTGACCAATACTGAAAATGGTTATACAGCACTAGTACCAAATAAAATCAGTATTGTTTTCCCAAGAAACATCATATTTGGCAGCATCCATACCAAACCAAAAAAAAAAGAATTGTTTTCTAAGAAAAATACAAGACCCTAATCCATATAGCACCATTTTCTCAGAAAATAGCTCTTAAACAACGACATCGATACCAAATACCTACAAAATATTTGCACTAAATAATCGGCATCGATACCAAATACCTACAAAATATTTGCACTAAATAATGGTGGTGGTGGGTACCAGTAATCTGAAAGTTTTATGGCCCCTACTACGCCAAGGGACTTATTTCCCAGCCCAATATACTACTTTGCCACCAGCGTTTATCCTAATCAATAGAGAACTTAGTCATCACTATTATGTTATCATGTGTCAATTAATTGGCCCTTGCATGTTATGGTTTAGACTTAAGGGGCGCAAATCAGACAGTAGTAGTTTTACTATAGAAATTTAAAAATTTGTGTAGACTAAGGGCATGAAACTAAAAAAATTACAACAGTGAAAGGAGTTTTGGTTGTTGACATATCACTTTCTTTCTCTTCTGTGTTTTTTGTTATGACCATTCTGAAACACACCCACTCATTTGTTTTTTAAATGCCCTATTGTTAAAGCTATTTGGTTCTCAACCCCCCGGGATATAAGAACATACTCTCTTCTAGGGAATGAAAATCTTGATTTGGTAGTAGAAATTCTGAATTTGTTTGATTCAATACAGGAAATTATGAAGTTGTTGGCCTGGGTGGTTATAGCCTTTTATCATATTTGGATTTTTAGAAATAATGCGGTTTTTAGGGATCAGCAGTTATCTATGGATCGTTTAATTATTATCATTAAATCTGCTTTTCTGGATTTTCTTTGTTCTGAATCCTTTTCAAGGCTTAATGGATTGGCTCGAATGCAAGTATATATAAATCTTGATGTTGTTCGGGTTTATCCTCTGTTTTATAATTTGTGATGGGGGCATTATAAATTCTACTAGGGGATCTTTTCTTATAATTCTGATGGGTGTATTTTGGCTACTTCAGGAGGATCATGCGTGATCCAGGATGGACCTGTGGAGGCCGAACTGTGGGCCATTTGGAAGGCTTTTTTTAATGAAACTTGAAAACCAGATAAAATTACATAAAAAACGAAGTTGACATGTTCTTTATGATATGATGATACATTTTTATGATTTCTCTGTACTTAATTAATTCTTGATTTTTTATTTATTTTTTAAAATAAAAATAAATAGTAAATAACAATTAAAATACCAAAAGAGATCGATTTAATTTTATTCTTGTGAATGATTTCTAATTTAGATAGCTAAATAATTAAATTCTTTCATTCTCTTAAAAACAATAAATATGAATTTAAGTGTGAAAGTCAAAGTATGAACAGTATGGTTAGATAATTAGAAAATTTTTAATGCACTATTAAAGTTGTGTTATTGAATGTTTATTATGATATTTTTCTTCATAAAACCTATTAGAATATGTGATTTTTATGTATCTTATTTATCGTGACCTTGTATTTATTAACATTTTTAGGACTTATTGAAGTATGTATAGTGTTTTCATGCATATCCTCTATATCCAAAGTGAATCTTAGTATGTCTTTTAAAGTGGCGTTTCAGGTACACTTTGCATTTCCAATACTTAAAACATTGCTTACAACAAAAAGCCTTGAACTTTTCGTAACTATGACAAACCCGTGCATTCCCGATCCCAAATAAGACTACCACCAATATGAGGCCATTGGCGCTATGGGCCTGAAAACGAAGATTTCATCAAGGAATGAAGGCCGTAAGCCCACTTAAAGGAAAAGGAACAGAACGAGAAAGCAGAAAGGAACGATGGAAGCGCTATGGGCCTGCTAAGTAGATGCAGATGACTAGATGGTTAAAATATATTCCATATTGAAACCACATGACATGAAATGAATGCCCAACCACGTCGACAACAATAGTGCAATAATGCTACATCCTATTTTGCCTCAAAATGCACTGTCATATCTCACACCCATCGGTCTCTGGCTTTAGGAATTAGGACTCCAGTGCTCCAAGGGGGGAAAAAAGCTCCTCCAAACAGCAATGTGAACTGCCCGTAGAGGATGCACCAGTGCATGCAAGCATGTCATCCATCCATCCAGAAAAAACCTATGGATTCATGCCAAGGTTATGTAACTATGCAAGTGACCATCATTCTCATTTAAGAAAGGTACAAGGCAATGATTTCATGACTCTCGAAAGAGGCTGCTTGCCTTTCAGAACAGATGGGGTTTCAAATGTTCCCTCTGCTTCTCTCTTTTTAATATTTTTCAATTAAATGACCAAAGTGACTGTACATCTGGGGTGGAAAATAGACCCCCAATGTGCGGCCTTGCCAAGGTTGTATTTCCATTGCTACCATCCGAACCACGCTCAACCCAATCCTTTCTGCAAGATCACCAGAAAAAGGAAAGTTCATGATCAGACAAGGCACTAAGGATTTCAACAATATTTTTCAAAATCTAAACAGATGAAAACAATGTAGAAAATAAACAAATAAATGGCTAATTGTAAAGAAAAATATATGGAAATCAACTTATCAAATCCCTTAAAAAGACTAAAACAGAAGGTCATGAGTACACCAAGATCAATAACCTTCCCTGCCATGAGATGCAGTCCCACTATTTCTGCCCCTAAACAACTACGCCATACTGCAAATCAAAATATCAACCCAAGTTGAAACACATCTTCCAGAAGAATCTAAAATCAACCATTTCTTTATCAGCCTTGATAGAATGACACCCTTGCCTCTCAAGACCAGACCAGCCATTTGAACTTGGTGGTATGAAGTCCGTTAAAATCAAGTCTGTGAGGGGCTGAAATGATGGATTAATGGGCTGGTATTGGGGAAAGAAGAATAAAGTTGGTATTGGAAAAATAAATATAAGGGATCAAACAGTAAAGTTGCAGGCAGTACTTCAGCCAACAAAAAAAAGAATAACAGAAGAACAAATACGAATATAAGAGAGGGATAATCATAATACTTAAACATTCCATAACTTTTGATTTTTTTAATACAATAAGAAGGCCTTTTACAGGAGGGCCCTTTGAAAGGGTGTTGTTCTGGAAGGACTTTGAAAGAAAGATACCCAACACTGTTTGAATTAGCCCAAAACAAGGACTGTCTGGTAACTGAGGTATATTCCCTTGGTAGATTTACAGGAGACTGGTGTCCCAGATTCAGAAGGAATCTGAATGATTGGGAAATAGCACACTGGTTGGAGTTGATGCAGAACCTTAGTTCTATCAGGCCAGACCCCTCCAGTCCAGATAAAAGGATCTGGTTGGGGGATCACTCGGGGTTGTTCTCTGTTAAATCTTTCTACAAGTGCTTAATTAGAGAGGAGGGAGCTTCCCTGAACAGAGAATTTGGAAGTCAGTTGCTCGACCTAAAGTTGCTTTTATGTTATGGACAGCTACTCTTGGGAAGTGTTTGACAGCATACCCATTAACAAAAAGGGGTTGGGTGGTGGAGAGCCAAGCAGATGTAGTTTATGTGGGGCAGCTTCAGAAAATGCAGAACATCTATTCATTCATTGCAAACTTGCTAGCTGGATTTGGGGAAAATCCTTGGGGCTGTTTGAAGTTCAATTCTGTTTCCCAAAAGATCTGATTTCTTTGTTGGAGTGCTGGCAGCTTGAGGGTCTGTCCAAGAGAGGGAAAGCTTCATGGGAAGTGGTCCCGACAGTAGTAGTTTGGTCTATTTCGTTGGAAAGAAACAGGAAATCTCCGAAAACACGTGTAATTCAGAGGATACAATTCTCAAGAGCATATGGAGAAGAAACAATTCTTGGTCTGGAATGCATAGACAGCTAAAGGATATTCCTTTCAGTTCTTTTTTTTATCATAGAAATCATTTTGTATCTAGTTCAGACATATAATCAGCTTTTGCTTCTCTTCCCTGCTTCAATTTCTTTTGGAGCAGGGTTTGTAAATCTTTTGCTTTCTTTAATACAAACCCTTTTCTCAAAAAAAAAAAAAGGCCTTTTACACAGTGACGACCCAAAAGGATCATTAGCCCATTAGAACCAACTAAAACAACAAAAGAGAAAATCATAAAGAAAATAATCTAATCACTTACATCCTAAAGCACTCAGCTAAATACCTGAGAAGGCTTCCTAAACCAAGCAAATTTACAATAATTTAGCAGACTCCCTATGGGTTACTACTAACATAATCATGACAAAAATCTTCCTAGAGAGTAAAAGTCAAACTGACATTATAAATCAAACAGAAAATGAAGTTGGTTAGATTAGAGAGATGCAAGAAGGTTTTTGAAAGCTTTAAAAATCTAACAATATAGCAGACGTTCTTCCTTAGCGGCAGCCCCAATTGGACCATCATCTGAGTTCGGATGGGCTCCCCACAACCTGTCCCCCATCTTGGGGTGGCTGGATTGGGCCACAAAGAACCCCAAGAGAACATATCCAGTTGACAGGATTTTTCCTCAAATCCCTGTTCTTTTTCTTCTTCTTACAGGTTTTCTGTCTGCACTTCACCTTGGAGCTAAAGACCATTTTGGCAGCTCTACAATGAAAGGTCAAGGCCACAATAACATTGGTAATTGAAGTAACCTATCAAGATAAAACTAATGGCCTCTTTTAAACAAGGAATTGTATTGTATTAAATCTATTTAAGTGTCAAAAGATTACATCAATGTTTACTCTTAAACAAAAGTTTAACCAAAAAGAAAAAAAAAAAAAAAATATAGCAAATGCCCCTAATCCTTGTTGATTTCACCTTGAGGCTTGAACTACTTTTATACTCAAAAAAATTTCTTTCATTTTGTTCACCGATATGGTCCCAAAGACTTCAAATGGTATAATATTCTATAAAATTTTTCCCCTCATTTTTTTTGATAATTAAAATTTTGCCCCTCTTACTCAATCCCTGAAGATTTCCAGCCAAACATGAACTTTTCAACTAATACTGGGAAGCAAACTTCTGCCCCAAACAAACCTAGACATCTTGCCCATAGTTCAGTATCACCAAGACGGTGCAAAAAAAAAGACTGACTGATTCTGGATGTGTTGAGAATAGTACACAGATTTCATTATCTAGCATCATACCTCTCTTACTGACATTATCAATCATCAAGCACTTCTCCAATTCAGTATTACAAGCTAGAAATGCCACTTTGGGTGGCACAGTGAAGCACCAGATCATTGAATAGAAAATTTTCCTGCTACTGTTTGGAGCATATTACTAAAGGACCTCACAGAAAAAGCTCCAGAACTGCCTCACCCCCACACTCATCTGTCCTCTTCAGTTGGACAAGGCTTTATCCACTGAATGTTTTGCAATAGCTCGGCAAGGTCTGAACTTCCCAATCATTCATATTCCTTCTGAACTGTGGACTCCATATCACATCCTCATTTTTCATTAAGGAGTACTCTGCCGCCTGTGCACTGATCTTCGTCAACTCCCCTACTTGCATTATTTCACTCTTGTGCACATAAACCTTGAAATTGCCCCAAACCACCATCAAATGTATTAGAGATGTTACATTTGGTCCAGGGCTGCCTTGCAAATAATTGAATATCGTCTGAAATTGCAGTGAAGGAATAGCTTCCATTTCCCCATCCACCTGAAGGCCCTCAATATAGCCCCTTTTAACTACCTTGATAGTCAACCTGATCAAAGTTTAAAAGGGCAGCCCAGTGCACGAGGCTCCCACCAATGCAGGGTCTGGGGAGGGACAGATGTATGCAGCCTTACCCCTGCACATACAGAAAGGCTGTTTCCAAGATTTGAACACTGGTCACCCAGGTCGCAATGGAGCAACCCAATCGTTGCGCCAAGGCCCACCCTCAACCTGGTCAAAGTTTTTGTGACACAAATGAAGAGAAAAAGGTGACAAGGAATCTCCTTGTCTGATATCCCCTTGAGCTAAAGAACTTTCCTTGAGATGCCACATTTATCATCATCATCATCTAAGCCTTATCCCAACTATATCAGGTTGACTACATGCATCCTGTTTCACCATTCCAATCTGTTAGTTCTGCATAGATTGTTAAATTATGAACACTTAAATCAAGAGATGCCACATTTGTGATAACAAATTATATGTATCGTGATGACAGATAATCACAACTGAGCAGGAAAAAGAAATAAATCCAGGACTTTCCAATTCATGTGGTCATAACCTTTTCCAAATCTATTTTGCACAATACTCCCACAGTCCAACTTTCTATTCTTGAATCAATTAATTAGGGAATATGGTCTAGCAATTCCCTTGTTACCTTTCTCCACACATCCTTTTTCAAACTCCTTATATTTCAGTTCACCAACTGCTATCATTTCCAATTATTCCTATTTGGAATGGCCCTACTTTACCAAAAATCAGAGTTTTTTCCCTGTCCTGAGTTGCAACAGATACAGAAGACATGGTACCTCTAACCCCTATGTGTCAATTCTTGGCTTGAAGAATGCAGATCATGCTAACTAATCACCTATTTCTCTCTTGCTCATTCACTTCTAAGATATGGAAACATTCTCTTCCCATTTATGGTTCTCTGTAGAATCCCCTATGGCTATGGTGGATCTCTTCTCTCCCCATTTGAATCCCCAACATTCAAAAAGGACAAAGATCATGAAACAACCCCTTTGGCTATGGTGGATCTCTTCTCTCCCCATTTGAATCCCCAACATTCAAAAAGGACAAAGATCATGAAACAAAAGCAACCGTCTTCTAGAGTATGTGGCGTTAAAGGAGTGCCAGAACTTTTAAAAATAAGGAACAAATTGTTAATAATATAATTGGCCTGGTCATAGTGAAAGTTGGGAATGAGTTCAAATGGATTACAATGGCTAGCTTTGCCCCCCACAAGACACACTATTTTGGCTTGAGCAGCTCCAGACTTGGGAAGGATAAAGATGAACTTTGATGGTTGCTGCTTTTTTTATCAGCTTTGGCGGTTGCTACTTAGCCAATCCATGATGATTGGATAATAAAGGATCTATAGAGATCATGATGGAAGTGCTCCACTAAGCTACTTGAGCAAAGCTGGGGAGGAATCTCTCTAAGGGCCAAGCTGCTTGCCCTTCTACAAGGACTAATCTAGCATTTTCCATCGGGCTGGAATGGATTAATTATGGAGGGGACTGTGAAGTGGTAATTGGATGGTAACCTCAAATTCAGAAGGCCCTTGGTCCCTAAGATGTATGATTAGAGAATATTGGGCTTTTGGTCAGCAAGAAAAGATCTTTCAGGTGGTCCCAAGGTAGCAAATAATCTAGTGCAAGCTATTAAAAGATAAAGGGTAACAAGAGAACAAGAGTTGGCTTGATCTGCATGGGGAAGGTGCAAGGGCTACATAGCAACTATATGGTGTAGTCTAATCATATAGTAGGGTCATCTGAGTGCTGGCATATTAGTACTGAATCTGAATGGGGGAAGTTATCCCTACTGCACATAATCAAAGAACCATGAGTGAAAGGCCACAAGTAAACTGTATGTCTGTATCATTGTACATCCTTAACACATCCCACTCAGAGATGGTGTGCCTTCATGCATTTTTTGACCATATGATCGCCGATGAGAACATGCGCCTCCACCCTTGCTCAGGATTTTTAAATGCCACATACTCAAAGTACTAGGGAAGATTCATTTAATCACAAAATCTCAAGGGAGCAGCCAAGGATAAAATCTGAATTTTCTATGCAGTTACTTAAGGTGGTTGCCCACTCTAATCAACTAATCCACCATGAGACACTAACCTTGCATCCAACATTGTGATGGGGTGACAGGATGTGACATCTTATTCATACCATAGGCAGCCAGAACAGTAAGATTTCATCTTCAAGAGGACGAGTCAAGCTAAGCTCTGATGGATTTTCTATTAGTAATCTTTAAGCTTGCACTTTTCTGGAGCCAGGGAAAGGCTACAGGAGCAACTTTGGGGAAGAGAAGGCTGTTGGGAAGGTCCTTGGTCACAAGAATGAACAGCTATTTCTACTGGACATCAAGCTCCAAAATCTCCCCCTGGATAGCTTGGCTAGGGGAGAGGTTAGGATAGTCCAATATATTAGGGGATCAGGGATCAGAATCTATTATATATTGAAACTACTAATGAGTAGGAGTTTTCAGTTTTATGCTGTTCTTCCTTCTCATTTGTAGAGAGAGGTGCACTTTTGTTTTTAGTCCTACCTTATAAAATCTTTTGTCTCACTACTGATAAAAATCATGCAATCATTTAAGCCCCTGCAGAATCTAGGGCTGTTTTGGGGGATAAAGAAATCAGCTTAAAAAAAGAATCACTTTTTGCTCAAAACTCATTATTCAAATAGTGATTTTTTGGAAGAGATTTTTAAACGAGCATAGCCAAGGCCTCCATAATCCACATAATCTTATTCCCCAAGTTCATAGCAAATTTTGACTAAAACCCCCTTTTCTAAAGCTTTCTCAATAAACCAATCAAGACCTCTAGAAGGGGTTTATCATTGCATCACAGCTCTTTCCAGAATTTAATTCTTGATTCCCCCAACTTTATAATACATGCTCCTTTATAAAAATAATTCTTTTTTTATACAATTAGGCAATTGGCTCTGTAATCTTCTTCACCACATAGAGCAAATGGTGATGAACAACTTCATGTCCCTCCTAATTGGTCAATGGGCCATATGGCACATATACAATAAGGCTCTCCACACTACGAATCATTTCCACTGATAAAGAAAGTACAATTGCTTTTCAACTTTTAATTAATGGAGTCATAACAGAATATGTATTACTAAATCACAAGAAAGCACAATCTTTCTTGTTGAAGAGAAACATCCTCCAGGACTTGCAGAAACATTAGAACTAACCCAAGTAAACAGCCAACCTGCCAAAGGAGTACCCCCACTCAAAAGAAAAGAAAATACTTACTTGATATGGATAAAAATTATAAAAATAAATAAATAAATGAAAGAAAGAAAGCATGCTAAATTAACATGTAATGTCTCCAAAAGCTCCAATACAATGATAAAAGCCACATTCAAAGCTTCTTATTGTGCTCACCCATACACAAACAGCACTGCTACACAGACAGAATAATTAAAAAGGAGAAAAGATTCAAGCGATCAGTACTCACTTGGACCAGCAATTAGCTGCAGACAGTTCGAATGGATGGTTAGCTGCTGAAATGCTTGGACCACCATAAGTTTTTTCACTCTGAGAAACATCTTCCCTAGCATTAAGTGGAGGGAACTGGTTATCTCCATTACCCAACAATGGCTGGAAGACAGATTTCTGCAACCAAGGATCACTATCATTTGAAGCAGGACCAAAAGGCTTAAACATTCCACCATTCTGGCAATTCTCAAAACAAACTTTTTGTGGAGTGCCAGGAAGGATTTGATTCTCCTTCATAATTTGAGATGGCATAGTCTTGTAGGGTAAAGGATGTGCAGCATCCTCCTGATTCGATTTGTTCTGTCCTAGGGGCAAGAGCCAGTTCACAGGCCCACCTACTAAACCAAGTCCATCCTGACCAAGTGGAGACGTGCCCCACATCTGCCATGTCCCTTGTTCATGGGTATTGCTTGATTCCAAGGATGAAGGATGCAAATCACCAATCTTTGGGGTGCAAGGAAGGCTAGCATGCTTTTCTTCAGCAACTCTTAAACGTGAAATAGGAGACTCAATTGGAGATGGCCTGTGAACTTCAACAGAGGCATCCTGTAGAGTGCGGGGCTTCTCCAGTCCTAAGCCTGTTATAAATCCACCACCTATGTCCAAAGGAAAATTGTCAAGTGATTCTGAAACTGGACCAAGTAAAGACTCTGGATCTGGAACATAACACGGATCTTCAAAAAGCTCTGGCTCTTCAGCTATAGATTCATGTGTTGATTCTCCAACAAGAGGAAATATAGTTTCAGCTGCAGAAGAAACTGAACCATTACTTGCCAGAACATTTGGAAAGGAGACTATTGTAAAAGGAGATGACATTCCAAAATGGATTGGACTGCCCAAAGGATGTGATGGTGATGCTTGACCAGGTAACAACAGGTTTTCATTATCTGCCTGGGGTTTATGATTATGCCTGCTTATGGTATTTGCACTTGAAGATGGAGTTGCAGAGCTGCGAGAAAACAGCTGCTGCCATGACTTTTTTGGTGTTGTTTGTTGGTGGTGCAAAGCTACCTGCATGATAAGAATCAGGGGTAAGCAGAAAAACAACAGTAAATAGCATAGCAAGTAATTTCGGTGTTATATTTAAGTAGAGAAAATGTTATACACTGAGTACCTCACATCCAATACATGAACATACCACCCCCATCTGGCAGTCCTCACAGATGAGACCCCCCTCCCCCAAGGGTTTATCTTGGTGTTCACTAAATCATTTTTCAAGACTGTTAAATCAATGGTAGGCCTTGGAAGGTTAATGAAGGCAGAGTCATAAAAGAGCTCAACTTTGTAGTCTCCAGGTAGAACTTGAACAACTGAAAGAACATTAAGTTCAAAAGGTAAAAAAAGGCCATTGACCAATGTTGATCCCAGCTATCTGGAGTCTTGGGAGGGGTAGACTGGATATGGTCCTAACCTTTGTCCTTTTTTCACACAAAGTGGCCACAATCACTTACATATAAATAAAATTACCTTACCTTTCTCTTAAAAAAAAGGTGGCCACTCTCAGTCTCAAACACACATTCTCATGCTTGCCAGCCCAAAATTTTACTATTATACCAAGTGATGGCCCCTTTAAGTTCAAATGTACAAAAGGGAAATCAAAGTGTTGGTTGTCAATCGGTCAGAGGTGTCCAAGTAACCTAGGCTTTAGGTGATGAAGTTGTGGCATTGGGCATCCCTCCCTTCTTTTGAAAAGGGTAAAGTATATTTCATTAATCAGAAGCAATTTTACAAAATTTACATGCGGCATCCCTCCATTTAAGCAATTCAGATTAAAAAAAAAAATTAGTAGTGAAATGCATTCAACAAGGGAATGTCCATAGAGAATAATGACATTGTGTTACACATGTATCATGTAACTAGTTCAATAAATAAAAATACAGGATTTCTAATAATTTACCTTTACCTGGTCAAGAAGTATAAAAACTACTTATAGCCAAAATGCACATACAAAATCAGAATAAATGAGCATGACTTACAGGCCGTTGCAAACTGCCCTCATTGGTTTTATCATCTCCATTGAATGTTAATTTCCCAGATGTACGTTCGGTCAAATGTACCTCTCTACGATTGCCAGAAGTTTGGACCTGCTCTACAGAATTACTAAACTTGTTGGATTTACAAATAACAGTCGCAGAGGGGTGAGTCCCCTTCCCAAAGAAACTAGCTCCATTAAAAGCTTTAGATGAATTAAGGAAGGAACCTTTCACATGGTCCAGATATCTAGAACCAGTGCTTCCCCTGATAAAATTGTTTGCAGTTGTAACCTTTACACCATGGCCCACTTCTGAGCTCTGCACTCTCAAACCTTCATTTATCACTTTCTGAAAGTCTCGTCTTTCAAGCTCACTCCTCTTGTCAGAATCCCTTTTCTTTTCATTATCCTTCCCAGCCTTCCTTTCCAACTCCTCCCCATCAGAATTACTTTTACTGGACACTTTGTCTTTCTCCCTCCTCCTCTCTTGGCGCTTCCTTTCTGCTTCTCTCTTACTGTCTTTTTCCCTGACAGGAGATGATCCTTTTCCACGCTCTTTTTCTGCCTCCATCTTTTCATCCCTCAATCTCCTCCGTTCCTCCACCAACCTTGCCACCTCTTCCCTCTGCTTTCTTTCTTCCTCCTCTAAAAGCTCTCTCTCTAACCTAGCCTGTCTCTTCTCCTCAGCTTTCCTCCGAGCCTTCTCACCTCTGCTCTCATGACAATTCACCCCATTTTCACCTTTCTTAGACAACATGTCCTTGTGTTCTGCATCCAATGAAGCATCTCCTCTTTCAGTACTTACCCTAAAAATCTTTCTCCAGATCCACCTAATGCTTAAGATTAGCGATGCCAACAGCTTGCAGGCACAAACAAAAACACCACAATAAGATCTCTCGGCCAAACAACGGTCGTCGCTGCCAAAAATTGCACCTCCATTCTTCTCCCAATGACTGGACTTACCGGGAAAAGATCCACCAACCCAACTACCGCTGTCTAACCAATCTTGACCACAAATCCATCCATTCTCCGACCAAAGCTTCCCGTTCCATATCTTCCCAATCCCAGAATTATCAATCCCCAACCCAGCAGGACCCGGCAAGTCTAAAACCGGCCTTTTAGATATATGCCCACAATATGAACACATAAACTTTCCACCGCCTGGATTCTGATCCCGATAAGGCGTCGAGCAGTTCCTACACCGACGTGTGGCGGTCTTGCGTAGCTTCTGCATCTCAATAGCCTCAAACCTCTTCCTTTCCCTAAGACGAGCATTCCTACGCGCCCTCCATGCTGAAAGCTGTGGCATCAAAACCTCGTACCAGAAAAGTGTGACCAAAAGAACCAAAACGCAGGCCAGCCTCGGAGACGTGACCTCAAACCGGAAACCAGGTGGCAACAGCTGCGAAAGCGCCCAGAGCCCTATAAGTGGAATTACTAACCACGGAAGCATGGTGGCAACCCGCCGAGACCACTTCTGAACGACGCACAGTATACACATTATCCTCTAACACGCACCTATCTTTTCCAAATAACCAAGGAACCCTAGAACAAATAAAACCCTTCTTTGAATCCAAGCAATTCCCCAAGACGAAATTAACAGAGAAACCAATCTTTACCGAAGCAAACCCTAGCCTACGTTCTTCTCGGGATTGTATTCAAATGCCATGATTTCTCATCCAATAAAAAATAGACATATATATGTACAAGAACGAAACCTGAAAAGGCGCTAAATACAGAAAATGGCGCTCCGGAATCTTTCCCCTTTATTTGAAAACATGAAAGTCCTGAATCCCCGAAACCTTAAGTGAAAAATGGATCGATTAGGTTTCCAACCAGTGCGGTTCGTTGCCACCACAGCTCGTATTGTGCAGATTCATTTAAAGAAGTGCAATGGACATCTGGTGAATGAACAGGGAAATTGGATAAATTAAGAGGTTTCTGACTTACATATCTGCCGCCCAAGGTCCAAGGTGAGAAGGAAAAATAGAAAAGAAAAGAAAAGAAAACCCTTATTTCGCCGCGACTGGTAATTTCCTTTTCTCCCGTTATTTGTTGAAAGGAGTTCGGTCGGTGCTTCGTTCGAAGCGTCTGTTCTGTTCGCTCTTTCGTTTTTTCTCGGTTCTTTTTCTTCTTTTTTTTTCGCCCTGTAAGGAAATGAGAAAAACGAGAGAAATGAAAGGATAAGAAAGGGAGACGGGGAGTTACGCAAGGAAAAGATTAAAAGGGAAAAAAAAGAGAATCCTGTTTTCTGATCTTTCTTAAATAACAAAAGAAAGGTCGGGTCGTGTCCTCGTCGTCGTCGATTAAGAAAATGATTTTTTTACGGAAAATTCTATTTTAGTAGCCTAAACTTTGGGGTAATGTGAAGTTAGTATCTAAACTTTCAAATGTGTCATTGTAATACTTAAATTTTTAAAAAATGTTAAATTAGTCCCTGTTGTTAACCTCATAGTCAAGTTATCAGTTGAAAAGATCAAAATTATCCTTCAAAAGAAGACATTGTTCACTATCTTTTACCTTGAGACTGAACTAGTTAAGGTGTTTGAGATTCTAGAATAATGAAGTCATTGTCTTCTACCTTTAGATCTGAAACACATTTTTGTCTAGTTATTTCTTTGCATTCCCTCTATCATATTTCATGTTTTTTCTCTTTTTCTTTGAAGATAATCAGTTCAACCTCAAGGTAGAAAACAATGAACAATGTCTTCTTTTGAAGGGTAGTTTCAATAGATAATTGATGGTCGGTTAATGGCAGGGACCAATTTGACACTTTTTGAAAGTTTAGGTACTGCAATGACACGTTTGAAAGTTCAGGTACTAACTTGACACTACCCCCAAAGTTCAGGGTACTAAAGTGGAATTTTCCCTTTTTTTTAGGGAGAATGACGATTCAGCCCAAGGTCAGAATTTGTAGGCTCAAAGTACATTTGGGGCAGGTGCCAGCTTGTAATTGATGCTAATTCACGGGCCGGTATGGGTGCATAGAGTGTGGGTTTTTGACCTTTTGAATGTTTATAGCTCTGCAGTGAAAATTAGAAATCCGCATTGGGCTTGTTCGTACTTCTCCGCTTTTTTTAAGGCTATGAGGAAGGTCTTGGTGATCAATCAGATTTTCCAACAAACTGGTATCATAAAGGTGATCAATTAGATGGTATTCATAAAAAATTCAAAGGAAATGCTTTGATTGGTCAAACTCTTCTCGTACCATATCATTGCTATATCATAGATTTTCATATATATATATATATATATATATATATATATATATATATATTAGGGGTGGCAATTTTACCCACACAATCAGGTCCCCAATCCGACTTGCCCCGAACGGGGCGGATTTTCCCCAGTCACAAATGCATACGGATCGGGTTCGAGGAATTTTCTTTTGCCCCGGACTAGGGACGGGGTAGGGATGGGGTCTGCCTATAAATCCCCGAACCCGGCCCAACCCCGACTGTTATTTACAAATATACCCTTATATATAATGTGTTAAACGTATTAGACTATTAGGTTAGGAATTATTAAGTTCAGTTTGTGTTTCCTGTGTACTGTGTTTCTTCGCAAACTTACAATTCACTACAGTCCTATAGAGACTCAAAGTCCTCAGTCCTTCAAGTCTTCAACCTTCGCACAACCGCCAACCGTCGGGCGCCGCCACCACCGTAGCACAGAGTTGCGGCTCAATGTACATTTGCAATCATCTTCAACAGTTCAACCTTTCTCAGTCTACAATCATCTTCAACCTTTCTCAGTCTACAATCGTCTTCAACCTTTCTCAGTTTGCAATCTTCTTCAACCTTTCTCGGTCTGCAATCTTCTTCAATCTTTCTTGCTCTCCGTTCGTCCGCCGACCGCCGCATCAAGATCAGGTTCAAGCTTCTTTAGACTAAGATTCATCACGCTTAAAGTTTCAAGTATATCAAAACTCATATTATCTGCACATGCAATCCTAAGCAATTTTTCTAAATGCAAGACTTAGTACTAGGTCTTAAAAGTCACATGGTTGTTATTGTGGTTAACTACTTCCAAGATGAACGGAGAGAATTCTCCTCATCATCCAACAGTTGAGGGTTTCTGAAAGACTGCCTGCTAATTGAATCAAAACAGAACAAACAAATGGCATTTTTGGTTCTTGTAAACTGAAATTTATGTGCATTTGTGGGATGGGTACATGTCAAGGATTCCCCATCCTCAATGGGGTCGGGGATGGGGGTTGAATCTTCACCCTGATACCAGGGATGAGGCAGGGACAGGTGTGGGGATTTAAGCTACAAGGCGGGGACGGGGAGTGGGTGCCCTACCCCATACCCGCCCTGTTGCCAACCCTAATATATATCATAGATATATACATAGATTTTCTATATATGATATATGCATATAGGCATGGGCTTTGTCAAAAGAATTTAAAGCAAAAGGAGATAGGGGTGCAATTTGGGTGAGTCCTACTTGATTCAACCAAAGCTTTTGTACAAGTTGGGCTTGAGTTTTTGAACTTCGATCTGGTCTTGCATAATAAAGTTCAAGCTTAACTTAAATTAAGGCCTTGGGTAGCCCAACTTGACCTAACCCAATTTGATTCCGCCCAATATTTTATGATATACATATTTATATGTTATCAATCTATTAAGAATTAAACTACAAAACTCAACATACCCAAGCCCAAACCCAACCCGAGATTTGGGTTAAGCTCAAGTTAGGCCTGGGTTGGTACACTCAAGCTTAACCTTGAATTGGGTTAAGTTTGCGCTCAAGGTTTGAGACTTAGGGTTGGGCTTGGGTTGGCCCTCAACCCAACCCAACTCAACCAAGTTGCACCCCAATAAGGAGCATTATGACTTTTCTAATTGGATTAGGGGATTTTGTCTAAGGCTAATAATTTTGTTATTTTTTAATTTTATTAACAAATTTGTAAGGTCATTTTATTTCCTAAATGAAATCTAAATAGATATCAAAATAGTCTAGATTCAGCATGCCTTTTAAAGAAGATAATTAAATTCCTAACATGTCTTTATTTCTAAAAAAAATAGAATAGTTATCATAAGAAGATTGCCTTTGAAGATTGACGTTATTCAATAATAGCTATTAAAAAAAGGGATTATTATAGATAGAGGTTGATTTTATCTATTTAAGAAAATAATTTACATAGGAAAGTAGAAAGATAGTTGCAACGAGCAAAAAGAGGATAATGAATTACGTATTAGGGTTCTACTTTATTAGGGTATTACTTTATTAGTATCTTGTATTTAGTATCTCAACTTTAAAGCGTGCTAGTGCAATACTTTAACTTCCCAAAATTGCCATTTTAGTCTAAACCTATTAATGGTTGTTAGAATGGATAGTTAAATTACCAAATTACTCTTTTGTTGTCATAAATAATCAAATATATCTATAAAATTAGTGAGTTGATCTCTTCCATATACCAATTGTTGCTGCCAAGAATAGGGCCGAAAGCAACAAGATAAATATGCTTCCTTAACTGAAGCTGATGTATCCAACCTGAGAGTAAGAGAGCATGCGTCAGAGGCCCCAAGTGTTATTCTCGAGGCGGAGACACTGACAGCCAAGTTAGTCAAGTATATGAGAGGGGTCGGATGAGGTCTGAGACGAGGTCACTCAAGAGCTAATAAGCAAGAGAGCAAGAGTGAACAAGATCCATTACCTCGAGGGGGGCACCCCTATTCATACTTGACCTTGCCTTGGGAGTAGTTGGAGGTGATTTAGTAGTGGGCGGCCAGGATTGCATCCGATCGATGCCACATTGCGCCATCCTAGGCCTTGCCCCATGCGCCTATATCACTTGCTCCCCACTCTTGAGGCCGTAATGGATGAGGTCCAATGGAGGGTTGAGCGGAGACCTCGACTTCGGACAAAGAGAGTGCCACGATGTCATTGAAAGGAATTGGAAGGTGCGTCAGGCGAAGGCCTCAGCTTGGTTGAAGAGAGCATCATTCAGAAGTACAAAAGCATTGGCCTCAACTGGTGAGAGCTCCACTTGGTCGTCCAGTGGCAGTTGCTTCGTCGTTGACTCCGCCTCTTAGGAGAATCACAGAGGGTTGAGGGCGAAAAGCCATGTCCTATACGGGTGTAAGAAGTCCGCGTTCATTGGTCGTGTTCTTCACGGGTGTCATCGTGGATCCGTACGTGGTACGGGCATTAGCGTCAACTGACCTTGACCATGCGCAAGATAGGCGACGGGTTGGTTGGCCGTGGTTGTATAAGAGACGAGTGACGGATCGGTTGATCGTGGTCATACGCAAGATGGGCAACGGGTCACCCGGGTTGGGTTGCTTCTGATCTGGGATTGGCGGGCGAACCGACTAACTCGCTCGGTGTCGTTTCACATTCCCAAGGTCGACGCCATGTGGCACGCATCAGTTTGGACTGTTAGGTCAACTGCTTCACGGCGGTTGGATCATAGAGATCTGAGCTGTTTGTTTCCCTTTAAATAGGGTCGTTGGTTGAGGTGGTTGCTACCATTTGCTTGCTTTCTCTTAAGTCTTCAGAGACTTCGACCACCTACTAGCCAAACCCTTAGCCTTCTTCTTCAACTCAGACTACTAGGTAAAGTACTTCTTCCATAGCCATGTCGTATTCTGACTACAGTCCCAAATGCTATGAACTTCCTGACCTCTCAGACACTAGCATGCCCTGTTCCACCTCATCTAGTAGTGAGAGTCCTAGTAGTGGGTTTAAGGGCTCACCTCGAAGACTAGAGGTCCAGGTACTGAGGGTGAGAACTGCTCCTAAAGGCGCCGAGTGCGACTGACGAGGCGATGAGTCTCCCGATGAAAGTAATGGTTCTACGAGGTTGAGGGGCAACAACATTGGGTATGCCTTGGCGCAACCCGAAGTGGTGGAGTTTGAGGAAACTGAGGACCTGAGCCTTGATGACATAGCCGAGGCCGAAGGCCGAGGCATTACAATGATGCGCTATCTGCGCTTTGACCTGGATAGCGAACTAAGCAAGGAGCAAGTGAGGTCCCTTGCTGAGGTGTACCATATCCTCAAGGCCTATAGGCTTAGAGTTCCCAATGTAGGCGATAGACCATGGCAGCCAGCAGAGGGGGAGGTGTGCATGCATGAGCACTACCTCCACTTCGGCCTCTGATCCCCCATTCCTCCTCTCGTTTGCAAGCTCCTGAGTTGTTATAACCTTTCCCTCAGTCAGCTAGCCCCCAACGCCGTTAGGACTATCATAGTTGTGTTGGTGATGGCTTGCCTCCGAGGT